TCGGCCAATGCACCCGTCAACGGAATCCACTACAACATCTATTATTGTTTAACGATAAAACCGATAAACAATATCTTTGATTTGTGACCTGATTCGTATGGAGAAAGACACGACTTCAAAATGTCAATTGAAACTAAACATAATGCAATTTTATTAACATACAATAGGCAGTTGCAGCTATTGCATTGAATTAATTGGAATAATGTGGGTGATGAAACTTGATATACGTCTTTCTGGCCTAAAGGATAAGATTGTGTTCGACTGGAGTGACGTGATTGTACTGGTGTTCAAAACCCGCAGATGGTTAATATTTTTTTAAGGAAATACGTACTGAACTCCGTTATGAATAAACATCTTCTTCTTTTCGCTTCGGTTTTCTCAATACTGAGGGTCCTGACCATCTCCTCGCAACAAGAGTTTATTCCGGATCATTCCACGCAATTTGCTTCTATCTGCCGCCGAGTGTAGAGCATCGTGAACTGCGGTGTCGAGGGTAGTGCGGATCTGGTCAGCCCAACGTGTCGGGCCTCTACCTCGTGGTCTTCTTCCGTCCACCTTGCCATTAGCTTCTCTGAGCTGCCGTTATCCTTTCTTTCAATGTGGCCAAAGTATTCCAGAACTCCATGTCGGCATGAAGAAACATCAGTCAGTCATCATCAAACAGAAAGTGAGACCTTAGAACTCATGTCTCAAGGTGGGTGGCGGTTTTTACGTTATAGATTTCTATGGGCTCCGGTAACCGCTTAACACCAGGTGGGCCGTGAGCTCGTCCACCCATTTAAGCAATAAATAAATAAAAACCTGCGAAAAATTAATAAATTTGCGTTATAATTGGTATCAGGGCGTTGGTACCAGCATTATATCTATTGCGGCAGCAAATAAAAGAAAACGGAATAAATTTTTATCGGCGATTGATATAGAATTAAATCAATCGCCGATAGATTCTTAGAATTAAATTAACAGGCATGTTCCTTTGTTCCATCGTTCGTGTCTTGGTTTGCGATATGCCCACCTAGTCGAATCAAATAGTAGGATAGATATGACGAGAAGTCTACTAGATTCCTAACATTACGTTATAGGCAACGCCAAACGCCAAATACCATTAAAAAGTAATATTTGCGAGCATTTATCTGAATAATCATTAAGTTTGTATTACCAGTAGTAAGTAGTATTATCAGCTTGGCATGCTAGGAAGAATCTAGACACGAGAAAATAATTGAGGAAAGTATACTGCTACCACAAATGATTCTTGGGTCGCGTAACTCGTATTTATCATGAACAGAATGCTATCAGTGTATCCTAGGAGAAGGTTAGAGCTGGTGTGAGAGCCACCAGAGCACACAGATATTCAGTCACATCAATTGATACACAGATATAGTTACGAGATAAGTGATTGAATTGAATGGGTACCAAATAGCTAGATGTATTTAATGAATATGGATTGTCATATGTATTTCACTGGTGGTAGGACCTCTTGGGAGTCCGCATGGGTAGGTACCACCACCCCGCCTATTTCCGCCGTGAAGCAGTAATGCGTTTCGGTTCGAAGGGTGGGGTAGCCGTTGTAACTATACTGAGACCTTAGAACTTATATCTCGAGGTGGGTGGCGCATTTACGTTGTAGATGTCTATGGGCACCAGTAACCACTTAAACCAGGTGGGCTGTGAGCTCGTCCATCCATCTAAGCATTAAAAAAAAACATTAAGGAAGGTAATTAAGATACTTTGTTTCGAGAATTGAACATACTGTATGCGAATTTCAGCACAACATAAAAAAAAAACCATCATCGAGACGGTTTTCGTATCGGTCATCTGTCACAGATCAGGTAATTAATTGATCCATCGTTAGTTTGCCTAAATTATTCTACGACAACGGATTTTTTTTTTGTTTTTTTATTTAATTATTTGAATTTGATCGTGGTGATTCTCAGTCGTGAGATTGGAGATCGGGCACGCATCACTGTGACTTTAATACTATTACTTTTTTATTGCTAATAAAAGGTAAATACTTTTTAGATTCCGGAATAAAGATTCCTCCAATGAACAGAGCACTTCTTCGAACGAGAATCATAAAGATTCTAAAACGATAAGAAGCGGTGAGTGTTTATCGTCAAAAGAGCTGAAATCTCTTCCGCTTACACAGTAATAACAACAATAACTTCTACCAAATAACAGTTAACTTTCTTTAGTTACACGAGATTATTATTATAATTTATTCGTCGATGTACAAGAATATGCTTCGAAGGCTAGATGCTTTCGCCGGCATAGCTTTACATGCAATGCCAAATAAAAAGTGTAACGCCATCAGTGTAAATAACTGACTCGGTGGTGGAATACTGGTGGTGGTGAAGTCGTATTCCTGTCTCGGCAAACATATGTACGTCTGAAGAACAGGATTGTTTACTGTTTGTCTGGTTTAATATGTATTTATGTATATCGCGGCGGGTGGTATAGAATTTCATTACCAAGCTGGTCGTCCAAGGGCATTTAGAACGATTTAACAAATAATCCAATCAAAATCAACACATATCAATCGGGTGAAAACAGATTACTACTGGAACACGGCGAGGCGGAAGCGAGATTAGCAAGACGTTCGTTCTGGCTGGATCTTCAGTCTCAATCTCGGCGGGCAGTGCTCGCGTCGCGGTCACATCGTTTGTCGGAGCCCTTTTACGGGGGACGGACCATCGAGGCAATCTGCTCGGTCCTCTCGGACTGTGTCAATCGCGTCCAAGGACGTCTCACCATCCGGGCGACGAAGGTGCTCACGGGAGACGGCCCAGCACCTCGTCGCCCGGAGGGAGCCTACGCCGGATTGTCACGCCTTCTGTGGCTGTGACGAGGACACAACGGAGCACATGCTCGTGTGCCGTCCTGATTTTCGTCGCGAAGGTAGGACCGCATCTGCCACTGCGGGCCGTCGTGGCTACGATGCTCGGCAGCGAGGAGGTCGAGGCTGCACCGCACTCTACCTCTAGCACTCTGATACCAGCAGGGTGGGACGATACGGCAGTGGCTGTCGTCGCCGGACGTACTGTGGAATAACAACCCGATCGATGTTGCCAACCATCTGACAGGCTGGTTCTAATCTAGCGGGGTGTTCTGGGACATCAGCAGGAACGCCCGGGCGGCCGCTAAGCTTAAAACCAGGTGTACTCACGAAGGCCAGGATACTAGGACTTTAAGGTTAACGCTTTCACCCAGTACTTCACAAAAAGCTAAATCTCCAACTGTGATTAGAACATCTTTGTACATCTAAGAAAGTAAAATCACTTTTACGCACACAAAAAAAAAAACAAAAATCCACATCCATAATTTTATTTTAGCATCACAAAAAAAAACACGAAGAAAAGCAACAGCAACTACTAACGTTCGAAATCATTATACGAAATTATCTGGCAAAATTCCCAGGTCATACAATTCAGTACTAGACGAAATCCAGACATCTACATTCTTAGATGAAGTGTTTGGACTTATGAACTGTTATTAGCTCTTTTTTACTTTTATAAACAATGAGGTAAGCTTCATTCATGAATGAGCATTTACATTCTGAACCGGAGTTTTTAAGCTGGATTTATCTGGTTTTTGATTTATCTCGACGTGAATTTTATTATTTCACACAGTTAATAGGAGAGATGTAACACATTTTGAAGCTTTGTTGTTTATCATAAAATTTTGCACTCGTATTGATTGACCTAACAATACCAGAGTTTGGATTTAAATAGATCCAACAGGTACCTATTTTTCTAAGTAAATACATATGTAACAAACGAAGGCTCAAGATTGACTTAAAAGATTTTCAAATTTACGAAGTTTGGATTGCCATACTAATGGCGTAATGAAAGTCCACACGACTAGTGGTGTCCAGCATGCCTCTTTTAACCACGGAGAACAATACAATACAAAGTGGGCCGGTGTATCCAAGTTGTGGTGTCTATGGGTTCGAGTAACTCAACACCAGATAGACAGTTAGCCTCTGAATAACGATTCCGTATCTATCACGGTATCCATTGCTATCAGTGGTAGCAGGTATACTATTCGTCGGTTAAAGGACCAAGGGCTTTTACTTTCACTTTTGCTCGTACTCAATTTAGTTCAGGGCCGTAGGATGTTGTTGTCCAATTAAGCTTCACCTAAAGTTCAAAGGTTTATTGACTTGAAATTAAAATTTGTGTAATTCAACTAACAGCTGTGAACGAAGACACGAATGCAGAGAGCTAAGTTATAAAGACGCAAAATACACATTTTTACACGATAGTCAGTCAAATTTTAAAATAACCTTGAATCTTAGCTCGGCCGCCAAACTTTCAATTCACCTGTTTGGTTTTAACTTTCACACTATAGAGCGCCAAAATTCGATGACTAAGGTTTTTGTGGATTTTTCTGTTTCTTTCTAATGGCACAATTACGAGGCGAATAACCACTAAATAAACGACACTTTATTGTACACTAGCTTTTGCCTGCGACTTCGTCCGCGTGGAATAGTTACTTTGACATAACGCTATATATTACCCGCCTGTTCATTTACGTAGAAAGTGTAAATATTTTTGAATTATAGACAATGTCTCAAAAGGGAAAAACACCTCAATTTTGAAACATTATTTATTGGTGCTTTTATCTTAGTGCGATGTGATGACTAAGTAAATGGGCTATCTACCAACGAAAAAAATTTTCAAATCGGACCAGTAGTTCCTGAGATTAGCGCGTTCAAACAAACAAACTCTTCAGCTTTATAATATTAGTATAGATTAAATACGATTCAATATTGGACGACTTTATCTCGTGTTTTTGATTCTACTGCACCAACAGACGACAAAAAAAGCGGTGTGAAAAGTTGAGGAAAACTTAGAAAATGATATTTTCAAACATAATATGTTTGTTTAGGTTAACTCGATTCTGTGTTCTGAAGGCAAGGGTGAAGCCAGCGTTCTCTTAAAAAATGATTTATTTAAATAATTGTCGGTGAGATTCTTTGAAATAATGTCCAAATTTCTTTCTAGATGCAAACGATTCTCCACCACAATGGCAGCGGCGAGGCGGCCTACACCGGTCGTTTGAAAGCCAGAGAGGTACACCGAGCCATCACACTGCATCCGGTAAAAGACCATCGCCAGATGTACAGAATACATTCATATTTCAAGGTATGTAAAACAGCAGCAACTTCCAGAGGAACTTATTTAAAATGTGCGTTGAATTTTCTCATTTAAGTTAGAATTAAGAGTTGTTACAATTTTCAGAAGTGGTCCTGGCCTAAAGGGTAAGACGTCCGGTGCATTCGTGGTGAGCGATGCACCGGTGTTCGAACCGCAGGCGTGTACCAATTTTTCTAATGAAATACGTACTCGACAAATGTTCACGATTGACTTCCACGGTGAAGGAATAACATCGTGTAATAAAAATCAAACCCGCAAAATTATGATTTGCGTAATTACTGGTCTTAGGACGTCTTGTGAGTCCGCGCAGGTAGGTACCACCATTCTGCCTATTTCTGCCGTGAAGCAGTAATGGGTTTCGGTTTGAAAGGTGGGGCAGCCGTTGTAACTATACTTGAGACCTTAGAACTTATATCTCAAGGTGGGTGGCGCATTTACGTTGTAGATGTCTATGGGCTCTGGTAACCATTTAGCACCAGGTGGGCTGTGAGCTCGTCCACTCATATAAGCAATAAAATAAAATAATAAAATAAATCTCAATAAATCTAAACGAAATAAACTAAACAAACGTTTTTAAGGTTGTTTTTTGTAGGATATTTGAAATAAACGATCTTAAATTGCTTTCGTGTCTCGACATATCTGACATTTCGTATAATATTATGGCTGGAAAACATGTTAGGCAATTACCGTACCTAGATTAGTATAATGGTAGTTCTTGAACCATTTCATTATCTTTGGTGTTCTGGGTACCCGAGAACTAGCAGATCCTTAATCATTTCCTCATAGACGCTTAATGACAGTTGACGAGCTGCTAGTTTTTAGTATTGAACACATTATATTTTTGGTACACGGCTAGATTTCGTCCGAGCTTCAGTTTTTTTTCCTACCTAAGCTGATAGCCTTGAGATTCCTGATGATGACGTTGCTAACACGAACCCTAGCAAGAGCCGTGCTTCGCAGAATCTACCATCGGATCGGAAACGCGACCCACTGAGAAGATCCGGTGAGAAACTCAGTGGGCTGTGTCTGAGGGTTGATTTACTCGTCGAGCCCTTCGTCGCAAGCGATGGGTTCAACGAGAGCGATGACCGGTGAGCTTTAGACGCTTGGGCTGTTCTTTATATCGCGCAGGCAGAGACAAAGGCAATATTTTTCCTTTTTTCTTTACCTTTTCGTTGGTAACCTAAGGGGCTATTCCAGCTACGTTCTGACTGGTAGATGAGTTCTGGAGCTCAACTCGAGAGAGCTTGCTAATACTGGCCCTAGGAATAGCAGTGCTTCGAAAAATATCTCTGGATCGGAATCGCGACCCACTGAGAAGATCGATCTTGACGAAGACGGTGACCGTGTTTGCAGAGCCTAAAAGAACCGCGAGCGGTTCCCGGGGATCCGATAAGACATGTAAAGCGGTAACCTATATCCTTCGCCAGGATTGAAACTATTTCCAAACGGAATTCGGTATAAAACGGCTCAGTGGTTTGAGTGTGAAAACCTAATAAGATGGGGGTTTTTTTATTGCTTAGGTGGGTGGACGAGCTCACAGCCCGTCTGGTGTTAAGTGGTTACTGGAGCCCATAGCCATCTACGACGTAAATGCGCCACCCACTTTGAGATATAAGTTCTAAGATCTCAGTGTAGTTACAACGGCTGCCCCACCCTTCAAACCGAAACGCATTACTGCTTCACGACAGAAATAGGCAGGGTGGTGGTACCTACCCGTGCGGACTCACAAGAGGTCCTACCACCAGTAGAGTGGGGTCCTGAGCTTGTTCAAATCTAAGCAATAAAAAAAAAATAGATTCTACTTTTAACTTCTTTTGTACGTAAACGCTGACCCCGTGGGCTATTAACTGACGAAATGTCCATGTTTACGCAAGACCGACGTTTCCGTGAACTCGGAGTTGGGCGTAAAAAATATGTTAGTACGTTCTGACATTTAGCTTCTGACGTCACACGAATTAGTCGAGTGAGCTTCTAGAAAATCAGTGCAGCCGTATTTTAACGCGAGTTACATTTCGACGCTTGAAAGGCAAACATGACTAAGCGACAATAACTGCTTTGTACATAAATGATAGGCAATAACCATATTCGATGCGCAAAAAAAATATATTTCTAGGTCTATTAAAATCATTTCAATCCTACAGCTACTAGCTAGATTCTACTACAGCTAGATTCGTTAAAATAAATTTTGTTTTCAGGTATTCCAACTTTAAATTAGTCTACTGTAAAGTTCACGCATTGTCGCTTAGTCACGTTTGTCTTTCAAGCGTCGATTTGTAATTAGCTATGTAAATAAGCCTCGAAGTCGATTAACACTTATTTCTAATTGGAAACACTTCGGTTGGACGGTAAACTAATCTTGAAAATGTTGGTAGCGCGATTTAGATTCTGATTGCGTTTATGCGGTAGGCAGCGGCTTGGCTCTGCCCCTGGCATTGCTGAAGTCCATGGGCGACGGTAACCACTCACCATCAGGTGGGCCGTATGCCCGTCTGCCTGCAAAGGCAATAAAAAAAAATCTACGCTATGATACTACGAGTTCTCTTTACGTTGACAGAACATGATCGAAAGAAAGAAAACGTGATCTTGATTACCTTAAATCTATACAAATATTATAAAGCTGAAGAGTTTGTTTGTTTGAACGCGCTAATCTCAGGAACTACTGGTCCGATTTGAAAAAAATACAGAATTGTTCCCCTTTAAAAGAACTAAAAAAAAGTCCGCGACAGTATATGTCTATATGTTAAGGTTGGCTCACTATAACGTTTTTTATGCTAACCAAATTTGTTCTAAAATTAAACATTATTTGTGAACTATTCCACGCGGACGAAGTCGCATGAAAAAGCTAGTCCATAAATAATATGCTTGGATACATCTATGATAAGTTTTTTGTTTCATTCGTTCATTGTTTCATTCGTTCATTTTACTGGTAGTAGGACCTCTTGTGAGTCCGCACGGGTAGGTACCACCACCTTGCCTGTTTCTGCCGTGAAGCAGTAATGCGTTTCGGTTTGAAGGGCAGGGCAGCCGTTATAACTATATTGAGATCTTAGAAATTATATCTCAAGGTGGGTGGCGCATTTACGTTTTAGATGTCTATGGGCTCCAGTAACCAGTTAATGCCAGGTGGGCTGTGACCTCGTCCACCTATCTAAGCAATAAAAAAACAAATTGGACAGGCCAAAGAAACGTAACCCTTACAGCCTATCTCTGCAGAATAAAAAGTGAAAGTGACTAAAATGAAATAGCTTCTTATTAAATTGATGTATTTATTCAGTGCTTAATGGGTGGGTGGCGACATTCGCACGTTTATTTCTATATGCTTCTGCGACCGCTTAAAGATGAATCGTAACAACATTTAACCAACATTAATGAAAGTGTATTTGGTCTTCGTACAAAAACCAAAGGTATACAGATTACTTTCGCAATCAAACGTATATGTGTGTATAAGAAGTCGGGCCCCTACTTGTGCGATTCAAATTTCGAGCACACGCTTCCGCTTGTGAACTTTATACAAGTTTATTTAAAACATAAATATATTCTCCCTTTGATCACGGTCGTTGTTTTGTTTAGTTCTATTCGTAACACGTACTATTTGGCCAGTTTCAGCGGTAGGTAATAATCCGGTGTCTGTTGTTATTGTTCAAAAGTACGCGTAGGTACACAAATTATATTTGTAGGATTAGTAAGAACGGAACGTGTGAAAAGCGTGTGGATTGGAGCGTTAAGATGTGGGTGACAGAAAACGCCAAGAAAGGGAAAAAGGAATGACAGAGTAAAAGGAAGATGGCAAAGATGTTTTTTTTTTCCTATCTCTGCTGATAGCCTTGACAGGCTATTTCAGCTTCGCCTTGACGTGTAGGCGTACCCACGGGGCTCGAACCGGGAGGGTTGCTAACACTGGCCCTAGCAAGAGCAGTTCTTCGCAGAATCTACCACTGGATTGGAAACGCGACACACTGAGAAGATCCAGCGATAATCCCAAGGTTACTCGTCGAGCCCTTCGTCGCAAGCGACGGGTTCGGCGAAGGCGGTGGCCGGATCGAAGATGATTGAATGAGTACGGCGTAAAAAAGATGTCGGATAATTGTTTATGATTATAATAGAGAATATTCGAGAAGAGAACAATAAAAGTGCAACAATGGTCTTATTTTATTTGCCACGATGCCAATTCTACATATTCATATTCATTGAGGGCAATACACGAATAGTGATGAGGTGGAAGTAATTGTGCGTCAGTTGCTATACAATCTGCGTGTTAACAGCTATTATTAAATAACACATAAAAAATCCAATCACCTTGCTTAGGAATAAGGAAGTTATAACAGCTCTGGGCTTTTTAATTTCGTGCAAGACAAATGTACTGTATGCTTTTATTGGTCGGCAGCCATTCGCTTGCTGTGAAGTTGTTATCGGAACCCGTGGACATCTCAACCACCCTAGAGACATGGGGTTAAAGTATCGATTGCATTTCATGACAGTTTTCAAGCCATAAGAGGCAGATGTAGGCAGTATGGTACTAGCCAGCGTTGCGGTATAACTATATACCCTACGACTAATAATGGGCGATTTTAGGGCAGGATGGTACTAGCCAGGTTTGCGGCATATCAAATCAAATCAAATCAAATCAAATCAAATCAAAAAATTTTTATTCAACATAAATGAAAGTACATACTTGTTGAACGTCAAAAGAACTACCGCCAATTCACAAGAACTAGCCTCCGTCCTGAGAAGAATTGGCAAGAAACTCAGCGGGCATGTTTTTTTTTTTTTTTTTTGATTTTTNGCAGTGGCTCCAGGTAGTATGGATGAACTCTACTCCGGTGGCGGGCGGTGCGATGGTAAAAACGAGATGCTGGTATCATCTCGAACAATTCCTCAGAGCACTCCCCATGGAACATACGGTACAAAATACAGAGGGAACCGAAGTCCCTCCGCAGACCCAGAGGCTCCATATTTTACCCGCCTGTTCATTTACGTAGAAAGTG